CTTCAGGATTCCCTCCAATTGTTTCAACTCAATAAATGGCATTAGCTCTAGCGCCTGCTGTGCCTTGTTCTGGATACAGCAAGTGTTAGTAACACCACCTTGACTTCTGCCCATGCCAACATGCCTTGAAGTACAAAAGGCATCCTTCCTATCTGAAACACAAATTCAGTCCTGTGTGTCAGTCAGTTCCAAATGTCAGCCGAACACCCTAAATATCAAGGGTACTTTTTCCCTCTCATCCTAGGTGGCTTGGGGCTAAGGTATAGCCCTACATTCTTTATAACCCTGACAATCCTGAATCTTGCTTAGATAAGATAAACTGAGGCGTAATGGAATTAAATTTGACAAGACTCTCATTCAGTGTGTTTGCCTTTGGTGTCTCCTTAACCTTTCAGAGAAGTGCCGGAACCTTCTGCCTGAGAAGGGCCTTCATGACTCCTGCACGCACTTTAAAAGACTGCGTTATCCCCCCTGAGGTGCTTGGATCCTAACACTTTTTCCTCTCAAATACCTTTTTAATGGAGTTTAGAAGTTTGGTGTAAATGCCAAGTCTCCGAGCCAAATTGCCTTTAATTGAGTTGTGCTTTCCTAATTTTCCCCGCTGCCGTTGCCAATCGTGCAATTTACCAGCGGGGTCAATTACTCTTCATATTTCGCAGTGTTTTTAACCTAAATTGACTGCTGGCCATGTTCTGGTTTGACCTGAGCTGAATTGTTATGAAGACAGTAGGTGGGTTGTGGGGTGCGATAAACAGCATACTATCACTGTAATTCAAGCACTAACCTCATGCTAGACGATCAAGAATGAGCTGGTGACCTACCTGATCTCATTTTGTGAGAGGGAACTGAGAGATATAGTCTACAGTTAACGTTCAACATTCAGGGAGGGTTACAAAAACACATTGTGGTGAAAGCAGTAAATATCAGAATTCATCTTTGGATGATATGATGATTTAGATGGTTCGGGCCACGGCTCCAACCTTGAAATTGATTCTGTACACAACAGCGGATAAGCTACAAGCACTTGCAAAATACATCTGCAGCAGGCATCAAATCATTCAAATGAATCTCAATCTGCTCTATTTCTCTGTCTTTTGTATCAAATTGAAGGGTCTTGGCCAACATGGCTTTGCCTAAGACAACACTGCCCCCTGCAGACTAACTTATGGAATAGCCCATTCACCCATGGAACCATACAGCCGACAAAATACTGTATAAAATATAGAGATGTGTATCTTAGGGATATGTTCCAGTGTACTATGAAGAACTGGCAACAGTTTTTATTCCAAACAAAGACTATAACAGACGATCTTACTGAATGATCCCCCATTTATGGTTTAATTTGGGATAATAAGCGAAATCTCTTGGGGTGTGTTCAATGTTAAATCTTAATGCACCACATCTGACATTCTGGGTAAATATGTTTTCTACAGGGATTTCTTTAAAGAATAGAATGATGCAACTGCACCATCATATTCTAGTTATAAAAACATCTTGGTAACAATTACAAAATTGATGAAACTATCATACCCTGGAATTCTTGAGGGACCTCTGGCTTTCTCATAACAATGCAACACAGTTTGCAGCAATCAATACACCATGATTGCAACAATCAACATAGCATGGAGCATATTTTAAACCATTAAACATAGCCATGTGCTTTGAAAATTACTCAAAAACACTAAAAAGGAGGATGTGGGACTTAAACCAGCGTGGGTGAAGTGCATTTATTCACTGTTCCACTACGACTTAGTATTGCTACTTGCGACCGCACATTAAATGCTCTACCATTTCATTTAAAAAAAAACAAACAAACAAAAAAACAATATGGCAATTACGACAAATCACCTCACCCACCACTGCAAAAAGTGGGTGGGTGAGAGAATCCAACTCACTGTTGTGTTTTTGTTTGTTCAGTTATTTTGAAAGGATACTCTCCCTCTCGTGTACAATGATCAGGTTTTGTTGCTCCAGCTGCTGGATCTTGCACTCAAAATTTTCCTGTTCATCTTTCAGACGCTGTACTGACTCCTCTTTCTCCTCGCTCACTCTGGAGAACAGGAATTAACGGTGTTAAAAGATAGGTGGTCTACATTATGCAATCCAGGTGTGAAAAGGGATGAAAAGACACCAAATATAAATTGTTCCATTCATACATTCATATGAACTTTATCACTGTCTTAGAGTTCAGTGGCATATACTGCTGGGTACCTGGCTAGTTCTTCAATGAGGTTTGCAATCCGGCGCTTATCTTCAGGACAGAGGTCTTTCAAACAGACCTGGCTCTTAGCTCTGCTCGTCTCAGGGAAAACCTGTGCAAAGAATGGTTAGCAAGTATTCAAAGATATTAACACTAACTAATAACGAAATTCTGTCTCAAAATACCCTTGTATTAGATTATTCTTATGCTCTCTTCCATATTCACACATTTCGTCTTACACCCATGGAGGGAAAAGAAAAGTACCCAACATAAAACATTAGTTTACCTGTGTCGAGGGGAGAGAAGTACCCAAGGCTGGTGAGAGGGTGTGCTCTGTAGCTGCAGCAGCACTATGATGGACTGACACTTTTTCCTTGGTATAAACCCCTGAGCGCTCACTTTGTAAGTGACTCAGTTTCTTGCCACCTTTCTTTAGTGTGGTCTCTGTCTTGCAGTCAGAGCTACGCCTGGCTCGCATCTTGGTATCTCTGTTACTGGATGTACTGGTGCTGCCTGGTCCCAAGCTGAAAGGGGTGTGAGTCTTTACCTCTCCATCCACTCCTGAGACAGTTCGTGGGAAGACAGAAGAAGAGGATTCTATGTGTAAATGATCTACATACAGCGGGGGAAATAAATATTCAACACATAAACATTTTTTCATTTAACTTATTTCCAATGCAGCTGCTCACATAAAATTTACACCAGACATTGGTATTACTTCAATAAAACGACACAGATAAAGAAACTGTAACATTTAAATACAGAAAAAAACTGTGTGCAATTAAGTGGAATAATACAGGTAAAAAACATGCTAACTCAATACATGGAGGAGATGTTTGCAATGCCAGCTTTAAGACGCCTCCTCAAACACCTTTTATTTTCTTCCTCTGGAACCAATACACCGTCTCCTTTGCAGTATGTTTTGGATAGTTGTCATGCTGGAAGGTCTACCTTCCTCTTATTCTCATCATCCCGGTGGATGGCAACACATTTTTCTCAAGGATTTGCTGGTACATGGCTCCATTAATCTTCTCTTTGATAATTTAAAATCTGCCGGTGCCAAGAAAAACAGCCATATACAACGATGCTTCCACCTCCAATCTTCACTGTAATTGTGGTATTTTTAGGTAATGCACAGAGCCATTTTTCCTCCAAACAAGACGTATTTTATTGTTGCCAGAAAGCTCCATTTTTGTCTTATCTGACCACACTACATTCTCCCAGTAATCTAGAGGATCTCCAAATGTCATGTAGCAAACTCCAAGCAAGCTTTTTGGCAACAATACAATGGGTCATGTTTGGAGGAGAAATGGCTCTGTATATTACTCTAAAAATATCCCACCTACAGTGAAGTCTGGTGGTGGAGGCATCATGGTATGTGGGTGTTTCTCTTCTCTTGGCACCAGCAGAGTCAAAATTATCAAAGAGAAGATTAATGGAGCCATGCACCAGCAAATTCTTGAGAAGAATCTATCGCCATCCACCACGATGATGAGGATAAAAGAAGACTTTCCAGCAGGACAAAAATCCAAAACATACTGCAAAGAAGACTGAGTATTGGTTCCAGAGGAAGAAAATAAAGGTGTTTGAATGGCACAGTCAACAACCTGACTTAAACCTAATAGAACATTTGTGGATGAAGCTAAAGATCAAGATTCACCAGCGGCCCTCCACAATCTACAAGATTTGAAGACTGTCTGTGTGGAAGAATGGGCACAAATCCCCCCGAACACTGTGAAACATTGGTTTCCTTATACAGAAAGCGGCCATTGCAAACAAACCATGTCCAATACTTTGTTCCTGTGTCAATCCACTTTATTGTCAATGATTTTCTGTATGGATTGAAATATTACAATTTTTCTATCTGTATAGTTTAATTGAGTTAATCCCAATGTCTGGTCTAAATCTCATGTGAATAGCTGCATTGGAAATGGGAAAATGTTGATGTGTTTAATTCTTATTTCCCCAGCTATATAGTTATTTCAAATTGTGTTCAGAAATTGTCCAAAAAACACCACTGAGACTCACCAGGAACAAACACTAAAGGCTGTTCCTCATCTGACACTGTGTGAAGGCAAAAATAAGACAGATAGAGAAGTGAACGGTCAGTAAAATGAAACTAAAGTTTGTTAAGGCATGTTCTTTCTAACGCTAACTGTCTAATCAATACCCTCCTCCCGTGTTTTAGGGCAAACAAATAGCTGGTGCCCTACAATCACGTAACGTTAGAAACAAAACAAAAGCTCGTTGTCTAACTCCTTAAATGCTGAACAGGGCTGCTTGGTAATGACAGTGAGCATTAACACTATCATCACCATGTTTCAACATAAAATAGGCAACGTTAACGTAACTTTACAGACGTAACTTCACATTTAATTAACCAATTACCGTTACGCGTAAGTATCAATACGTTAACTTAAGCTAGCTGTCTCACTTCCTCAGAAATAACAACTTCCCAGCGTTGACACAAAAGTACCATGTGTGAGACCCTCTAGAAAACTTTTTATAACTTTACATAAAATGCATACGAATGGCAAAGGATGCTAGAGCATTTTAATAAATGTAAGCCTACCGCCATTCATCCAAAATATCCCCGAGTTTCCACTTTTTGCTGCCGCTGCCGCCATGTTGAAACAACCGCCACCACTCCCTGGGAGCCAAGCGTTGCTAAGGGATTATAGTCCCGCCTTTCTCTTTCAACTCAACAGCCAATTGGCTACGCTACGTGAAGGCGTGCTTCTATTGGCTGATACATGTGTCAATTCTGCGTCAGAGCTGTTGTCGCTTCCTGTTTGTTGCCAGCTGAGTTCTGTGGAGAGAGGTGAACGGTGCAGTGCAGATACCTGCAGAGGATGCTCTCAGGGTTTTCTACAAATTTGTGATTGCGGTCTTCCAAATGGAAGAGATAAAAGATAGCTTGGCATTTAAAGGTGTGGCTGAGAGACTGACGCTTGGCATTACTCGAATACTCGGTGTGTATTATGGGTTTTTGCTCTGACACTAGCTATTAACGTTGTTAGCTAGCAGACAGATTCATGTTTCACTGGACAGTTAATTCATTTTCTGAATTTGTCCCTGTTGTGTCAGAGAACATGCCTGGTGTGGTCGATGTGCGTTTTGTAGAGAGGGAGCCTGCAGAGAAGAGGAGCCTGCTGTCGTGGGAACAGGTGAAAAATGGACACCATAAAGACATTAAAATGAGGTCTGGTTATACATAATTATCATGTGAACCTGCTGTATTTATTCCCCAGAAAAACACTTGTATTTTGCCAGAGGACCTGCGAGATTTCTATCTGACCATTGATGGGTTTACACTAACCTGGAGCATTAAACTAGACAGTAGGTGACCTCATTAGTTTTATGTTCTGTCTGTAATAAAACCACTCTCACATAAGTTTTAATTTAAGGATACTATTAAGATTACATGATAAGGGTGAATGCAAATAGCTCCAGCAATTTCTTTCACCAAAGACTTATGTGTATGTCATAACTGTGTGCCTTTCAGACGAGTGTGTTCCCCTTGGGTGCATGATGATTAACAGTGTGGCCAGGCTGTGCCCACTCCTTCAACCAGTATCATTATTCTCCCTACCCAATGCACCCTCACTGGCCGACCTGGACTGGGAGGAGAGCAACACAGAGAGTGGTAAACCTCACCTGTCAGATCCTTGCGCGGGCTCAACTCTACAATTACACCATGTCAAGTTTGATTAAGTCTGTTTGTGTGCTCAGTTGGGCAGAAAGCAGGCTAATGAATGAAATGTTGATCGGAAAGTAAATATTTATTCAAGACTCATTAATGCTATCTGCCAGGGACGGGGCATGCTCCTGCTGCACCCCATTTTGATGCCCGGAGCCGCATCTTCGAGCTGGATTCCTGCAGTGGGAATGGCAAAGTGTGTCTAGTCTACAAAAACTGCACTCCAGGTGTTTTGTTTGTATTCACAAATTGCAACTTGAATGATTTTTCTAAAAAACAAAGTTAATAGGACATAAATATTTTATCTATTTTAGAATAAACTATCATTTAGTTGTTTATCTTTGTATTTTTCAGGTGTGGTAGCCCAGCAGAGTGAAATTTGGTTCCTTGACCGCTCTCTATGTTGGCATTTCCTGACGGCAACCTTCACCTCCTACTACCGACTGATGATCACCCACCTGGGTCTGCCTGAGTGGCAGTACGCCTTCACTCCATATGGCCCTAGCCCCCAAGCCAAAGTACGTAATCACTCTTTCTAAATGGCACCTTCAAAATTTATTTTCTTTGTTTTTGTTGTGTATTTGATCTTTTAAAAGTCTTTCAGAATTTATCACCCATGTTTAGTTTCAGTTGTTAACAACATTCAAAGCAGATTCATTGCAGATGTATAAAATATATTTTATTCATTCTATTCCCTCTACAATATACTACAATGTTGGCAGATGTAACACTTTATCAACATGAGGCAACACTCAAAGTTTTAAGACATTAACACAAAGCATAAAAGTGTTGAAATAGGACATTTGCGGCCTAGTCCTTTAAGTCTCCACCTCCTTACTGTCTTTTACTTCTATGCATTGTGTGCCAAATATCTCTGGGAATTTGGCAAAGAAAGTTGTAGACATTGTATTTGTTGTTTTGTGTTATTCCTTCAGTGTGCAAAACTCTAAACAGCATTGTAAACTGTCTACCTCCTGTTCCCTCTACAGCAGTGGGCATCGCTGTACCAGCCACTGACTTTCAGCAGTGAGCTCAGCTTGGCTGATCCTGTTGGAGATTCCCATCTCAACAAGCTGGATCCTACAAAGGCCTTCAAAGGCAAAGTTAAGACACCCGTCCCTAAGAAGAAGCAGTCGACACAGTGTAGCCAAGGGAGCACTGCAAAGAGCCAAGGCAGCACTGGAAGACACGGCGGAGGAAAGCGGTGAGATTGTTCCCATCCAAGGAACTTTGCTGTCTATACAACCAACACAGCTTAGAGGAGCAGCCTGCGATTCCATCACTGGCTGGATTTGGCGTGTTAGCCTCTCTACGCTCCATGGGAGCATGTTGTCCCAAACTAAGTTTGGAATGCTGCATGTCTGCATAGATACATAACCAGCATTTTTTATCAGCTTAACACAAGGCTAAAGTGGCTCCAGCTGGTGCAGGCAACCTGGCGTGTGTAAAGATGTTTCTAACCTTGTGTATGTTAAAGATTTCACACAATAAGAGCAATTTTTTTCCGAAACACATGGAACATTGTGATAAGACTAATATTTTTTTGTTTATCTTTCACAGTTAAGTGTTAGTGATGGAGAAATGAGGCATGCTAAAGCACTGAGGTTTACCAGCCAAGTGCATCACCGATAGATTCATTATTCAAAGCCTTGTTTGATAGTGTTCACCAGTAACTTAAATCAGACAATTCATAAAAAATGATCATGCACTGTTGACATGTGACAAATAATCAGGGCATGTTGTGATAAACTGTACCACTGCTGTAACCCATGAGAAGGACCCATCAATACTCAATAAAGACACAGTTTATATCTGTAGTTATCATAACTAGGCATCTTTGTTGTAAATATTTAAATTTTTTATGTATCATACAACAATAATATATACAATTTTAGAAGAGGTATGAAATTCGGTAAGTAACACATCTCTAATTTTACGTCAAAAATTCAAAAAAATTGAAGGAAACACAAAAAATTAATACAATACTATGCAGGTTTCAATTCAGTAGAAGTGCTTGATATGTCTACAATTTTAAACTCATTGTTCCACAGAAAGAAATTGATCACACGATTCACTGAAAAGCTGCGATACCGAGCCTCAGTGGAAACTTCTGCACATACTCGACAGACACCTCAGCGTTACAGTATCAAACGTTGCATCACTTTAGAGTGCGTGCAAATGTGAACCATGAAATGTTGCATTATCAAATTCTGACAATAAACCATCAGTCTGGTAATCAAGTTTCTCACAGTGACTGTTGCATCACTGCAGTGCTTCACCAGTGCTGTGTAAATCTCCCAAAGATAAAAATGAGCCAGAGTTTTGGCCCAGTGATTTCTTGTATAATGCCATCTGCTCTGATGACTCCGTATCAATTAACCGAGGTGAGCAGGTTGTATTCCAGGAATTCAGAGATAAAATGTGCTCGCTTTATCCATTTAGGGCTCTTGATGCCAAATATATACCGCTGTGCAGACTTAATAGACATCTAGGATTAACTTTTTGGTTCAAGTACTTTGGAGCTTCTACAAAGTTAATCAAGACACATTTACACGTTTTAGCTTTAGGCTGCTGTGCACTGGATTGTTGGAGAGTTCAATGTGTATACTATCTTCGTTTGTGCGAAGGCCCTTTCAAGCTGTGAGGAGCCGACCCCCACTGTTCCTATTTTATTTTCCTTAAGCTACATGCTTATTTAAGTGCAATGTATGGGGGCTCTTTACTTTCCTTTATATACACTGTGGTTTAAAAGCTCATGTAAGTGGTCTCCCTTTGATTGTTATATCTTCCAAGGTTATATCAGCTGCTATTACCTCAATAATATAAACATGAAATATCAGCTGTGACATGTGTTTTTTCATCTTCCATGCATAAAAATGACCTTAATATTTAACCTTCTGTCCTGAATGTAGTTACTATAATGGATTGGAGCCCTACATGTCAGCATCACAGTTTAAAATATCCCATAATGTATGTTATATGTGTTGCAGTCACTGGTACGGAGTAACCAAGGCTGGTGTTGAAATTAATCCCATTAAACAGACCCATCATTTTAAAACTGCTTGAGATGTTCATAACCTTATTTGAGCCCTTCTCTCTTATTGTGAAAGTTCTTCTGTCCGCCATCCGAGCAATTTGTCTCTGGTGCGTTTTCATCATGGAATGTTTCGGCTGCATACAGGTGTCCACGTAGCTTTGCAGCCTGTACGCTCTATGTAGTCGGGGGTCTCAGACACATTCATTAGCAAAGATGTTTTCCTGTTTCTCCAGAGGGGTAGTCTCCTCCTCAATGTCCTTCACCACCCGCTCACCTTGCTCAGAGAGGGGAGGGTGGTGCAGTTCCACCAAGGCCTTGTAGACCCCTGCACCCAGTACTCCTCCAATAAGGGGGGCAACTATAGGCACCCACCACCACCCGTTTCCAGCCCTGCACAGATAGAGACAGATAAGTGTGAATTGATTTAAAGTTACAGGGGCAGATTCAAGAAAAGAAAGCATTAATATTTAAATAAAGCATTTTTCCATTGCCATTGTTTAAGATGTTCCTAAAACTGGGCTGTCTATGCAATAGAAAGTTGCAGATCCTTTTGAAATTGGTGCTACATGACCAGAGAAAACAAGGGGAAAGCACTGTGGCATTTGCTTTTGCTTAAAAGGTAAAAAAAAAAAGAGAGAGAGAGAGAGAGAGAGAGAGAGAGAAAACTTCAACTACCAAAATGCACTGCACTGCATCAGACCAATTAATAGTCCCACTGGTCAGTAACAACATGGCGGTCTGCTGGTCACAAACAGGTAACAAACAATCTTGTAGCTAGTCCATATTAATGGTGAGAAATGGACGACACAGTAATGGAATCTTTGTTCATATTTTAGCACTGCTTACTGCACTACAGGAAACAGAAGGATGCAGACTTCCTGTTCACAAACTGTTGTATTACAGCCAAACAGAGCATTAAAATATGTTTCTATTAACATTCTAGGTGACAAATAGGCAATACAGTAACAGAATCTTGGTTTATATTTGATCAGTACTGCCTAGTGTTACAGTTTGATTAGAGTTTGGTCTGAGTTTGAGAGCGATAGATATCTTGTCATATCATTGGGGTACAACACATGCGCAGTAAAATCTGGTCTGCACTTGCAGAAAGTATCAATAGCTGGCGCACTATCACAGAACACAGTGGACGATTGCTTTATGTCAGTGAAGCATCTGCAGGTTGGAATATTTCTGCATGTAAAATAAAGATATGGGTGAGAATTAAAATTCTGATATTAATGAAAAGGTCTGGATTAAAATACCATTTAAAAAAACATGCTTTCTATATTTAAACCTTCTGTTGTATATCAGCCGTCATCCAGTTGAGAGTACCCCAAAATTCTGTCAGGCCGAGTGTATGCCAAGTCATACCCTATAGCTCCCATGGGGTCAAAGAGCGTGCCTTAGCCTTCATTGAATAGCCTTGACAGAAATGAGGAAGTACAATCTATAGTTCCTCAAACAGCCCTAGAGCCAGCACAAATACGCTGGATGACGCAAACGAGCAGGGAGATCTGGGATGTGGTAAGATGGAGGGAAGTTTACTATAGTTGTTTACAGCTGGTTGACAAGCAGCCAACAAGCAACATCCTCTTAATATGTGAGGAAAAGCTATACGGGTCATTTGATAATTAACAGAGATATTTTGCCCTCAACTAACTCCTAGTTAAAGTGACATGTACAGTAACAACAGCAAAACCTCCCATAAAAACCAATACATCTTTCCTCCATACCTGAACACATCAGCCCCCCAGCCTGCTATGGCAGTGAAGATCCTGGGTCCGATGTCTCTGGTGGGGTTGATAGCATAGCCGCTGTTGCTGCCCAGAGAAATGCCAATGAGCAGCACCAGGAGACCCACTACGACAGGCTCGCTTCCCGCCGCAGCTGGTTTGTTCTTCTGGTCGGACAGAGCCATCAAGCACAGCAGCAGCATAGCTGTGCCAAACACCTGGCAAGCACAAAAATCAAAACATCACATAAATAGCTGTGTGAGAAACAACACATCAAAGCAAAATGGTCAGTGCAGAATGTGTAGGATGACAGTGATTTGCAGTTGCAATCCTTTAATCTGGTTTCATAGCTACCTGATCAACAAATCCCGCCATCAAGGAGAGGTATGGTGCAGGATAGGTGGCAAAGATACCAGCTGTGGCCTTAACTCCTGTTACAGTCAGGTTTCCTCCACAATAGTCAAATATGGCTTCTGCATATGGAAACAGTATTGACAACACAGACACTCTTAGATGTTTGACTACATCAGAAAAATCGTGGCAAGAATTACATGTATAAGATTCTATACAGTTAAGGTCAACATTATTAGCCCCCTTTATGAAATCAACCAAAACCCTTAGCGTTTCCATGTGAATGACCATAACCAAAAGTGTCTACCACCTCACAACTGACAGCTTCTTGTGGTTGTGCCTAACTAGGTTGGCACATGTCTCTTGGAGGATCTAAGCCCATTCTTCTATGGCAAATGGTTCCAGCTCATCCAAATAGCATGGTTTTGGAGCATGGACATTAACCTGGAGCTCCCGCCATAGATGCTTTGTAGGATTGAGATCTGGGCTCTGAGATGGCCACTCCAGGACCTTGATTTTGTTGTCCTTCAAAAGGTTTCAGACCAACTTGGATGTACGCTTCAGGTCACTGTCTTGCTGGAAGACCCAGTGGCAACCTTAAGCTTGACTGGCAGCAGATTTCTTTACATTATCCTTCAACATAGTCGTCTTCTTCTTGATCCCATGCAAGCGAACAAGGTTCCCTGTGCCTGAAGCAGCAAAACAGCCCCACAGCATTATGCTGCCGCCACCATCTTATACTGTGGTACCTATGTTTTTAGGGTTGAAGGCCTCTCCCTTCCTTTGCCAGACAAAAGTGACACCCATGTGCCCAAACAGCTCAAGTTTAGTCTCATCAGACCAAAGGACAGACTTCCAGAATACACGATTCTAATGTTCACTGGCAAACTTCAGTCCGGCTTTGTTGTGCCGCTGGGTGAGCAGAGTTCTTGGACGATGACCTCGAAGCCCAACACAATGAAGAATCCTCATAACAATTTTCCTTGAAACATCAAGTCCAGAAGAGGCCAGTTCAGCACCAGTCATCTTGGCAGAAATCCCGGGATTGTTGTTGACATCTCTGACTATTTTCCTCTCCAAAGTTTTTGAAATCTTGCACCTTTGACCATGCCCAGGTTCGTTCCTAACATTACCTGTTTCCTTGTGCTTTGCAATGTTAAGACAGCTGTTTACATACTGTGAAACACTTGGAAATGGCAGTATAGCCTTCTCTATAGATGAGCATCCACTATCTTCTTCCTGAGTTCCAGACTGATTTCTTTACTTTTTGGCATGATGCAATTACTTCTTACCTTAAAAGTAGTCTCTTTCTATCCAGTGTTCAAGTGCCACTAGCCCTGTTCAAGTTCAGTGCTGATTGACTGCTAAGGTCTGTTTTGAAAGCTGATTGATTGGTCAGGTGTGTTTTGAGAATTTTAGGGAAATGTTCCATAGTTCCTTGGGAGCTAATCTTGACCTTAACTGTAAGAATACAGGTGTTCAGTGTAGAGTGTGCTTGAACATGCAGTCTGCCCTCACCGTAATAGACAGCGTAAATTGTTGCTGCGGCCAGAAACGACCCCAAAAACTGTGCAAAAACATACAGAGGCAGCATCTTCCACCCAAGGCGGCCAAACGTGCACATTGTGAATGAAACTGCTGCATTCATATGAGCCCCTGTTAGAGCAATAAAGCAAGAAGACATGTCAGATAATAGTGATTGGTAATGACTTTCAATTATTCTTGATAGTAGGGTTTATAAGGGTCATCTTTCATACCTGAGACCTTCCCTCCAACATGGACCCCCATGGCAACACCCAGTCCAAAACCCAAGTTGATGCTGAGGTATTGTCCAAACGCTCCTTGACCTGTCACGACCTGAGCCACCGACCCCAGGCCAAACGCCTAGACACAGAGAGGAGAAATCACGCAATTAAAAAGGAGGAAATTACAGGGGAATTTCCAGAGAGTGTAATTTGGGAAAGCCAGTGCCAGACTTAGCACATTTGGCGCCTTAGGCAAGCCCCACTCCTGCCAAAAAAAATGTATTATGATCTTTGTATTTACTGTATTTTTGTAATAAATACAAACACCAACAAAAACTAATAAAAATTCAACATTTATACAAAGTTTAGCAATTTCTGTATTGATTTTTTAAAATTCAAATAAATAAAATAAAGAAATTGTGGGAGTGGTGGCGTGCTAGGCAGCCCCCCATGTCACCTATAGGAAGATCTGCCACTGAGGGAAACATTCTATCTAAAAATTAAAAATAAAAACAAACAGATGGACCTTTAATTCGCAGTTGTGCCACTAAAGTCAGTGCATCAGTTAGGTAGCTGCAGTGTCGGTGAAAAATGAGTTTTGTTTAGAAATGTTTAACTACGGTACTGTATGTGTAACAGAGCCTGAACTGAGGTGAACTAAACTGTCATCTAACTTGAACGTCAGTGAAAGAGGCTGTGACCCCAGTGAAAGAATGCTGACACTGAAAAACATTCATTCAAAAAACAGGAAACGTGGTTCCTCTTACGAAAGTCGTGTATTTAGGTGAAGAGTGACTTCTGTTTATTTAGTGAGTAAAGCCGAGCGATGTGTGCTCATGTACTTATCAACAAGCTGTGTCCAGCATATGTTCACTGTGAGTGTGAAATGTATTTCTTCCAGGGTTCTGAATGAGGGGTTTATTTTAACAGCTGACATATAACATGTGACTTTGTCAACCCTCTCCATGTGGCCCTCTGCCTGACCATTCCTCCCGTAACACTAGATTTCCTGTTTCACCCACTTGAAGCCACCAATCCCCATCCATGACCCCCACCATGTGACTGAAATCTGCTTGTGTGCATGTGTGTGCTTTTGAGAGAGGGGACACATTGTCAGGGTCAGGAGCACCACATTAATAATTAATGGCACATGGTTGGCACAGATAAGCATGCAGCAAGGTTCAAAACAGAGACGAGCTCATGAATGGAAAGTGAACTTGTCACCAGAGGGATGGATATGAGAAGCTATATTACTGACAGTTTAATAAAACCAGTCATTATTACAAGAAGCTTTTCTTACCATCATGACATATGTGCAAAGGCATTCAGCGAGTCCCACCCGAACAATTTCATTCTTCAGCCAAACTCTGGGTTGTGTTACGTTGACTCTTTTCCGCTGAGAGACACCTAGTTCTACTGACTGCACTAAGTCCTTCATTTCTTCTTTTCGTTTCAAGATCAAGCTTAGACCTCCTGGAAAAATCTGTGGTGCCTTCTCCTATGTCAAACAGTAGTCCTCAAACAAGTCTCCTTCTGGCTTTTTTCCTCTTCCCCTTCTGACGCCTCTTCACTTCTGCCCTACTCTCTTTGTGTGGCTCCCTCTCCCTGTCACACGTACCCATTGGGATCTATCCACTTTTTATAGCCTTAACCCAACCCCCTCCTCTTGGATATGTAACACCCACAGGCAGACCCATCCCCCAATAGCTTTGCATTATCTGAGGATACCAGGAGCCTAAGGTTGACATGTACAAAGTTCGGCAGCGGGCCATTCAAAACCATGGCCCATGGGTCCATTGTAATACGCTACACGTGGCCCAACAAAACATATTAGTCAATCAAGTAAAATCACTTTGCATTTTCTCCCTTCACCTCAAGATGGCAGGACTATGATACATTTACAGGAGTCAGTTTACAATTACATTTTTCAAATTTATTGTATAACCTATATGATGTGAGAAGCAGCTGCCCCCTGGTCTCGTCACATTATCTGATCTTGCCCCCTTTCAAAAATGTCACACCCCTGTGCTGATGAAAAATGTTAAAGATTAACCCGCTGTGCCAGAGATGTTAAATGCCCCCTATGATTGACATAAAAAATAGTAAGACATGATGCTTAATTAAAAAAAAATCCATGTGAATTCACATCTGTAATACAAATGGATCTAAATTTTAGATCTGTTTGTTTAAGAGATTCTAAAACCTATCATAGTCGTCCCTTATATATGTGTCAGTTTGAGATATGAGGATGTTGATGTTTCAGTTTTAATGCTTTATCAGTGAACATATTACAGCAAAACGCTCAGGATTTACAATAGCAATCACTTGCTCACAGAGAATGTTATTCTGCAAAATACATTTCATAGACCAGTCTGTTCTGGGAAAAATGTTGCCATTCGTATGTTTATTTATTTTTCATTAACATCAGACATTTCTGGTCGATATTGTGTCATGTGTGTCATTTTTACAATTTAACTACACAGTTAACTCTGTTACATACTTCACATTTAAACCAGAGATCAGAGGGCGGTTGGAAAACTACAGTACAGCAAAAAGTATTGATTAAAAGCAGAGCTTGATTGACCACATCAGTCACACCTATGTGGTCTGATGGACAGCGGAAATTTCCAGAAGCTTGCCCTCATGTTCACACATGCTTACCCAATCAGTACCACTGCTCTTTACGTTTGCTAATGTATCAAGAACAATTGATTCTTGCAGACTGCTGTTTTTGGAGAATTGCTTGTCAATATCACTTGATACATAAAGACTGACTGAATAGTGCTACTAAAGCATTAGAAGCTCTTAGGTGATAATAATATATAAATATAAACATGCCAGGTAGAATGGTTTGGTGTTGCAACCCTTCTGGTTACTGGAGACATTGGCTGCAGACTCTGAACAAAAATGGTGCTAAGCAGTGCCTAAAAGTGATTCTTTGGCTCGGCTGCCCAGGGAGAACCCTGTTTGGTGCTATGTAGCACCCATCTTTTAAAGGCGCTTTGACAAATAGTGCTACGTACAACCATCAGAGACCATATAGCACTATATAGTTTTTCCATTTTTGAGCCTGGGAGCCTTGAATGATGCCAGATAGTATGTTTTTAAATGACACTTTAACTTGAAATATGAATGGTTTTTAATTCTTTTTTATTTAACTTTGGCTGAGAAGATCCAGAATCTGTACAAAATGCTTACTGAGAAACACAGTATGTTCCCTTCTCCAACCAGGAATAAGGTTGAGAGCCCATCCTCTGGAAAATATACTGTTTGCAAGCTATTTTAATGTAGTGTTTTTATTCTTTCCCCAGTAATCTAAACTAAAATAAGTTGAAGAAGCAGGCTTAAATGGTACTCCACTGGTTCTTCAGTTTGGTTTGGTTTACTGCATGTGAAAAGAACCAGGAGAGAACTTCTGAAGAACAATACAGGGGCTTAAAAAGTTCTTTGTTTCCCATTTTCCACCAAATTAGCTCTGATTCTTGAACCGGTCACATTCAGGATTCTTTGTACCTTGGTGCTATCTAGCGAACCAGTCCCGTTTTTATACCACTTTTGCTTGGAACCTCTATAGTCAAGGATGTTTCCTTGTATTTTTGGCTCCAGCTGAGAACGAACTCTTCAGGTTCCAAATCAATTTATTTTTGGTCAAAATGCTCTGGACGATTCAAAATTAGGTTTGGGAAGCAGAACAGAACCGGTGCCACGTTTGCGGGAAAGGGGTATGAGTGGCAGCTGTGCTATAAAGGGCGCCAACCCCTGAGAAACCAACATTTTCTGTTTGCACTTACTTGCACTACTAGTGTGTTCATCAGTATTTAGTGTCTCCTTAAAACATCCCTGAGAGGTTTTTCTGTGCAACTTGCACTATTCCTCATACTATATGATGTTATGTATATGCAGGGTTGTTTCTCTAAATACAGTGTAAATATTGTCAACTTGGTGATGATCTTTTCACTTGCTTGTGTTATTTCCTTCAGTTGCACCATATAGAGATCACTTGGTCAATGTGGAACACAAATGAATCAGTGAAAATGAGTGTGCCTGTTTTCAGCAAAACAAATTCGAAAGTCGTTTTTGGACTGAGAGGATTTTCTCAACCTTTTTTTTTTTGCATCACACCAGTTGAACTCTGAGACAAACTGGTAGCAGTAAAGCTATGTTGCTGTGCCATATCAACCTCTAGATTGCTTGCCTTGCGAAATACCAGTGACTGCATGATCTTTCAACGTGCAGCAGTGATGTAGCTGGGGCAGAGGGCAGAGGTTTATTTTTTCAAACTTGTGCTTTTCCAAAGTTCACCAGAGTAGGATCACTAAGATGCACAGCCACTGTGATAGCTATGACAAAATATCTAAATAAACTCATGAACAAATACAAAATCTGGAGATACATTCTAGTTGCCGCTTACACAGACAAATAACTATCTAAATTTGATATGACTGCAACTCTACAGACCATGAAATCACCTGAGATTCATCAGACATGTACATGCAGACCTAATTACAGCAGGATTAATATATTGTTGTTTTTCATCACACTGTAGTGATGCACAATTAGAAATGATGCAATTATAAGAAAATAAAATACTACCTGATTTTATAAGCTGTCAACTCAATTAACTTAAAATATTCAATTAAATATGAAATGAAAGAGTAATAACTAATGAGCAGAATTTGTCTAAGTCCTGCTCATAACCAATACAACTTGTTGGCATGTTTTGCCCTCCAGTGGCCATAAAGGTGTACAGCAGTTATTTAGGACTATTTAAGACTCAGATACCATAACACTAAAAAGTTAAATCTGTATGAGTTACTTTGGGAAAAAAAGGGGAACGTGTTTGTTGTCTTCACTGCTGCACAATTTCACACAGCTATCCAGTCAAGAAGTTGGGGATGGTTTGATCTTTCCTTTGAGTCAAATATCAAGACTTTCCGAATCTGCCTTTTCTTACGTGTATGTGAAATATATGCAGTGGTGGAAGAAGCGTTCAGATCCTTTATTTAAGTAAAACTAACAATACCACATAGAAAATACTCCACTGCAAGTAAAAGTCCCACAATCAAAACCTTACTTTAGTAAAAGTATGTATTAGAGGCTAATTGTACTTAAAGTTAAACGTAAAAGTACTTATTCTGCAGTTAAATGATCCCTGCCTGTGTTTCATTTTACATATGATGTTTTTGGATTAATATTACTGTTACATTAATGTGTATGTCACATTTTGCTGCTGTAGATGTGTTGAGGTTGTGCTCACTTTAACTCCTTTATATACTGTTAAACAGTTTACAGCAGTGCTTCATGTTCTATAAGATCAGTGTATGTTGGTAGCATCTCTGCAATTCAGCTTTGTGACAATGCATTTTCCAGCTGACCCAAGAGGGTTTTTGAATAGTTAATTTAGTTTAGTTAATTTAGTTTTATCTAATTTTCAATTTTTCTTTTTTATTTTTTCTCTTCAAAATCATCAAATTTGAAGATTCAATGTTTTCACAATAAATGTTAGCAATGTACATTTCTACAAACCACAGACCGTTACAATTGTATGTTTCATATGTAGCAGATATATTGAAACTTTACAATTTACTATCAGTTTCTAAAGTTAATGTGGTGACAACGCTGTGGTTAACTTAAATCTACACGTAGTTCTCTTCCATGGTGTCTGCCATATTGTTCTACAGTAACCTAGAACGGACAGTCAAACACTGGCTCTAGATAGGGCCCTTTCCATTTTCACTATTTTGATGTTGGCCACCGTATTTCTCCTACACGCTAGGTACAGTTTTAGTTCTGCAACAGCAATGCTAGATGCTGCTAAATCTCACACTGGAGCTTCAAATATTAAAGTTTCACATCATAATCTCATTTAATATACAAGCTGCTGCAATAGAAGCTAGCTAACATTTAAAGCAGGCATGTTCAAAGTCCGGCCTGGGGGTAAATCGTAAACTCTAAGTGGCATGTGGCTTGTTGGTCATGTATGTGGCCTACCATGCAATATTGGTTAAACAAGAGATTGCTTTGCATTTTCTCCATTCACCTCAAGATGGCAGGATTATCACACAGTTTGCAGTAGGCAGGCATCAAGTAGGAACTGCCAGGCAGAACTGATGAGTTTCCATATGCAGACAACAAACAAACAATTACCCAACAGCAGACATTTTTTGATAGGTAACAGACATGGCCACAGTAAAGAAGTGTTGAGTCAACAGCGGGGGCTTTAACTTTATGGAAAGTTAAATACTTCAGCTGTTGCATTTGTCTCATTTGTGTGTGATTTTTTTTCATAACCCATATGATGCAAGAAGCAGCTGTCCCTCCAGGTATTTTCACATTTTCTAAAATAGTGCCAGTTCAAAAAAAGTTTGGACATCCCTGATTCAATAATAATAATAATAATACATTTTATTTATACAGGGCTTTTACAGCTCTCAAAGATGCTTTACATTTAAAACCAAGGAAAAGAAGTACATGCATATAAGTGCAAAGAGATAAACAGAAGACAACGACAATATACAACAACAAGGTGCAAAAGCATAGTGCAAAACAAAGAAAAGGAGGGCACATGAGAAACAGAGAACGAAAAGCTAATGTTAAAGGTTAAAAGCGGATTTGAAAAGGTG